TTCAAAACAAAATTAAAAGTTTTCAAAGTTGCCCCGTTCTTCACTTCAGTGTTATTATATTTTTCTAGTCCTTCGGGATCATAGATGCCAGCACTATTAAGTGTTGAGAATTGAGTACCACTCAAGCCGGTGCTAGGGGGCGTGAGGGATGTTGCACTTTTTCATTATCCCTCATATACAGACTCAGTCAAACCGCGTCTGCAATTTTCATGTAATTTTGTTGTGATTATTGCTTTTTAGAGATCACTTGGTTTCCAGATTTTCATATCCGGGCGTGCACTTATATATAATAAAATATGTATACGTGATATATAAGCACATTAATTAACGGAATTATTACTTTCACTTTAACAAAACATAATCAAGTCATTTATATTTTATACTGATGAAATTCAATTTTGGGCAATGAAAAAACCCTAGAAAAATTTCTTTAAATTTCATTTTTTTTGAAACATATTTTAAAATTTTCTTTTTTTTTTTTTATTCAAATAATTTATTATTTACTTGCTCAGATGTTAAAAAATGACTTCCGGAATGCTCCCCGTCGAATCGAAGGTTAAAAACAATTTTATTATAAGAAATAGTAAGAGTATCAAAAAATCATGTAGCGCACTGAAGAATGGCTATAGTACTTGAGATAATTGTAAAAAGAAGTTTATAGATTTATTGCCTGGATTAGACCTGAAAGCGGGATATGTGTTTTTCTCTGAATGCTCCCACTCGAACTTTTCCCGAGCCATAAAAGAAATAAGTTTGAAAACCTTCTTGAATATTTTTAACGTACCGGAACATAAACTGAGTGATGTTTACACATTTTTCTAGATTGATTTCAAATATTGTTCTAATGCTATGTGGAGTTTACCCCTAAATTTTCACATAAATAATGTGTTGGATGGGGTTTTTAACCGCTTTTATGTCTATCTCTAGTTATCACAATTATTGTTTCTGTTTGTGAAACCAAGGCCGGTTAACACAGTGTTTACAGTGCTTAATATTTTTCTTTTTCAAAATAGCTGTTTACATGAATTAAAGATTAAACGTTTATAAGTATTTTGTTCATTTTATACTATCCATTATCTTTTTTTTCAATATTTGCAATATTTCATATGTGATTCTTTAAATGATACTGTCGATATTGCATATGAGTATAAAATTTATAAAGTCAAACGTAAAAACAAGTAATAGGGACACTGTAATACAGTAATACTGTGAAATAGAAGTTGACTTACTTTGTAGAAACATCATTATCAATATGATTATAATTGAATTTTGTATATTTACAAAATGTTTAATTTTTTATGCCATTTTTATGCAAGCATTGTTAACATTTCTATATGTATCGACAACTTAGAAATAACATAAGCAAGTTAACCAGTTTTATCTTTTTTTAAAAGATACGTCTTGTTTGATATTTTAAGAGTATAACAAACATGCACATTGATACATTGTACTTCTACAAAAGAGGAAAAAAACTGGGTCAAATGACAAATCTTTTAATTTTTTTTTTAAATTTGTACCTCTAATTGTTTAAAAAAATGATTTTTGAAACAATAAAAATGTATTTGCAAACGACTTCCTGAAAGGTATTTTTAGTGAAACCACGCCTCTCGTAGCATGAGGAGTACAAATATAGTTTTTTTACATATGCACTTCCTTTTTCACCTGGTGAAACGTTTTCGTATTTAGTTAAACAAAATATACTGATGTACCTGTGTGAAAACACATTTGTGTAGCTTGTACAGAACGTTTATTGATATATCATGATCTATAAAATGTCATAAAACACTCAAATGAAATATATGAATTTTTTCTCGGGATACTTACCTTTTTATGATTTCAAATATTCATTTATAAACTTTCCTCGGGGTTTCTTAACTTTCTTTTATTAGATTTACATGTACCAAAGCAAAACAACAATTTCAAATAATTCCTTTAATTATTAAAAAAATATATTTGAGGAATCAACCATTTTTCACAAAACTATCATCAAATTAATTAAATTCGAGCAAACAATCCGATACTTATATTTTTAAATTTATTCCTTATTTTATTACTTATATTTTTCATCATTAAATTTCCTGTTCTACTTACGTTTCCCCTGAGGTTTCACAGAAATAATAAAGTATCTTTAGTGCCAGATACATTTGTATATGCGTTTGTATGTACTTACTTCGTCATTCACTCTAAAACGCGGACAGATTCAGACTTACTTAAAATAACCATTTTTTAAAAACATTATTCTAGTCATGCCCATTAAGATTCAATTTGGCAGCACAAAGTGGTGATTCTTTACCTCCGCACAAATAGCATTAATATGAGCCTAGAGAGCCGAAAAGTCGGTGACTGTGCATCAGCCAATTAGATCTAGAGAGTGAAGTAACATGTGACAATAATGAAGGTGGTAGCACTGATAAGGTATGTTGGTGTTAAGTAAAAAGCCTGATTTTCTGGTCGCCCCTGCCAACTCTCGTGAGCCATACTTACTAACTAACTCAATGCAATGCAGTTAGTTTTTATTTGATGGGGAAATCAACCCGCTCGTTTAGGCACAAAAGTGACTTTCGCTATCGAATTCGAACCCCGGACATGTCACTAGTCATGTTCTTAAAAGGTTGATTACCTCAGTGCAATTTCCACAGAATATTAGCCAAAGATCTGATTTTTGAACCGAAAGTAGGTCACTGTATAGTGTGAAACGCATAATAACCCGAAACAGTTATGGTGCGGTGAGTTAGCCCTGTCAAGGTCTATTAATTCCAAACAATGGGTCTGCCTTTCGTTCTACGTGCTAACACACCATTCGTCACCCTTGTCTCCTCTGTAGGGCCATTACCCTTAGCTTTAGTCAAAAGATCGACAGCTGGTCCAAAGGTTGTATTTTCGCCGCCCAACGTTCTTTAAATCCTCTGCCGATGCCCAGTCTCAACGACGTGCACGTACCGAGGCGAAGAGAGAACTTACTAACCCATCTATCTATCTATCTATCTATCTATCTTCCTTTGCTTTTTATTATAAATATTTAAATAAGTAGGGGACAACTACATTAAAATATATAACACTTTAATGTATTTCTCTGAGTATATTTCTTTAAATTTTGCATATCTTCCTGTTGTAAGTGTCCTAGCTGATCTATGAAAGAAATTCAAATTTTATGTTTTTAGGCTTTATGACCTCAGTGGAGTACCATTAAGGTTTCACACGTGCTCAATCACACTAGAAAACGTATCCTACTGGCAACAATGTGATTAACAAATAAATCATTTTAAAGAAAGTACATATTTTCTTTAGATAAAATAAATAGAGGATATTGAATGAGTGCAAGTTCACTTCTGAATTTATTGCAGGAAATGAAATAAATCCTATTTTGCGAGCCTCTGAAAAATTAAAAACTGAAATATTATTCTATTCAACGAGTTTCTTAAATTCAGGAATGAACTTAAACGAATTTAATATTCTATTTATCACATACCCAAAGTAAAGACCGTTTAAAATAAAAAAAGAGTCATTTTTCATTGACGCGCTTATAGTATTTATAACGCTTACATCATTTTAGCGCGTCTTCATACTATGTGTGTTTAACGCTAATGACGTTACTTCAAAATATATGCACGGCCGTGCCATACCGTTTTACAGACACGGGTGTGTGAAAAACATTAGTATTTGTATCTAATAGATATTTTTGAACATTATGTTCATTGCACGATGGCTCTTTGTCGGTACTTTAAATCACAGGCAAATGTTTTTAATGTTTTTAGAAATAAGGTTAATGGTTTCTGAAATATATTATTAAAGTAAACTATTTTAGTTTAGAAGGATAAACATTTTGTTATGATTAACCGTTTACCTATTAAAAAGTAAGAAATTGTTCAAGTGTCTTACATAAACAATGGGAATAAAATGAAATGTCTGTTAAACTGCATAGAATTTGAAGAGTAATTTACTTCCGTTACAAAATTTAAAGGAGAAAAAAATATACAGGGGGGTGAATTAAAAACGTATGCCAAGATTCTAAGATAAAAGGGAAGGTAGTTCTTTATATTAGTATTACAAGTATACGCAAGTTTAATGATTTCAGCCACAAGAAAAATAGAAGAAAAAATAAGAACACCGAAAACATTTCGGCAAGATCCTTTGTCAATTTAAGAAGTGTATTAATGATATATAGTTTAAAGTACCTTTTAGCACTGTCAAAATTATCGAACCTTTTGTAGCGTACAGTTATCTTATCGTACTAAAACCGATCGCACCCATAAATATTTGGACAACAAGACGTTAATTAAATATTTTTGCTTAAAGGTATTTGCTAGGCTACCTAATAATGAGTTTTTTAAATAAATTGCAGATAGAAAAAGCAACTAACATTCACGACACGGACTCTGATCATATGACTTTTTTACCAACACAAAAACTGATACAGCATATTTACCTTCATTTATCTTTTCTCTTTAGAACCTAAACGCCAATGATTTAGAGATATCATGCTCAGGTCACGGCCCCACATGATGCACACAAATTTATCTATTTCAAAAGTAAATTTTACAAAATATACTCACTCTGACGCGTGTTTACATGCTAATTTTCATTACTCCTTATCGTACCTTTTCACATCGATTAAAAAAAGAATCGTACCTATATACTTTCGGCCCACTTGAATATATCAGCAGTTTAAACAAGTAAGGTACACTAGTGCAAATATCATGATATTTTAAAACGGTATATGCGTGCAAAAAAATATGACTTCTTCATAGCATTGATAGCTAGATCAGACTTTTGATTTAATGTAAGCCGTAAATCAAGGTGGCAATCATGCGATCTTCGATGTATTAACCGCCTTCTCTTAAATCCGTCTGTGCATGTACAAAAATGTTTTCAAGGAAAAAAAACGATAAAAGATATTCTATTTACTATTGGATCCTTAGCCAATCGTAAATGCTGGTTTTTGCTTTCGGGGATTACCCTAGTACCCGGCATGAGTCACTTTCCTATATAAAAAGCTAAACCTTCACACGTATACTATTCCTTTCTATGTCGTCTACTTGGCGATATTATATCCATCAGAATGGGGTTTACAAGCATCACAACAGTTTTGTTGCTTTTCGTGACTTTCCTGGCGGTTGTACATCAGTCAGAAGCTTGGTGGAGTCGAAGGAGTGGCAGCACTAGTAGCAGTAGAGGAAGCAGTGGCAGCGGCGGAAACAGTGGCAGGAGTAGTAGCGGTAGTGGGGGCAGTGGCAGTGGTGGAAGTTTGTGGCAAAAATCAAATGATTATGTCTCTGGATTTAAAAATGGAGCTGGAGATATGCATAAAGCTTACAAGCAATTATTTTATTTTATGTGTTCCCTTTGTATACATGATTTCTACTTATTTAAAAAAATAGCATATGGAGCAAGCTTGATCATTTATATTGGACTGTAATTAATAAAATTACAATGATGTTATAGAATTGTAATAATGAAATGAATGTCAAATGATTGATTTATTTCTTTAAAACAACACCATAAATTGTTAGAAATATATGAACATATGGAGGACGACGATAACTAACGGATGAAACAATATGTATCAATATCACACAATCACATGTAAATATGACACATATTGTTGCAGAGACATGAAAGAAGCAAACTGGAAAAACTCTGACAAATACTTCCACGCAAGGGGAAATTATGACGCCGCACAACATGGAACTGGCGGGAAACATGCAGCAAAGGTCATCAGGTACCGGTTTTTGTTTATTTCAGCAAGGCATTGATATTATTTAATCAAATTCTGAATTTGCAAACATGCTTACGAATTGCTGTTTGTAGTGAATCGTAAGCTGTTTCTTTTTCTTCTGAGGACATGATTCTTTCCTATACTGGTATATGATTGCGTAAATCAAGCTATCTTTTTCTATTTTTATTGTTTTATGTGACAGGTTGTAGTTCAAATTTTAAAAATAAAAGTTGGACATGATTCTGTAAGTGCTTTTCAAGTATATTCATAATATATTCACAATTGTAAATAAGTTATTGTTTCTATTAAATATTGATATTTAATTCAGTGATCTACGTGAAGGTTATGGCTGGCTCAAGGGTGACAGTGCCGCAGACAGAGCCGCTGACCAAGAAGCTAATGAGCATGGCCGCAACGGAGGAGATCCGAATAAATATCGCCCAAAGGGACTACCGGACAAGTACAGGAGATAAAAATGTTTTGACTTTTGAGTTACATGGAGAAACTTTTGCACTGTATACAACTTTTTTATAACTTGTTTAGATTACCTTTAGATTTGTGATATCTTTATATACCTTTGTAATACAAATCTATTTTTGAAGTATTTCTAAAAATTACCGATAATAAAAACTTAAACCCATAAACATACAAACGAAGTGGCTTTATTTCCTACTCCTTGTTTTATAATAATTTTATGTCCAGCAGAATGAAATAAAAACGTACTCAGTGTATGCATGTTTTACTTTATTTATTCCATCTCAAATTTCTTCACATGTTTACCGTTTTGTGAAATCTCTCCATAAAAGAAGCAGACAATGTCTCTTTCTTTCCCTACTGTTTTATTTATTTATTGACATTGAAGTTTCCGACGCGCTCGCCATTATGATCAAGAACAGCTTAAATTTCGTAGGAAACAAGAAGTATCTTAATGGTAAAATTGAGCAAAACGTTATCCCATAAGAACACCCCAAAATGCAAAAAAAGTTTAATTGTTTTGCGGGCTTTTTAAATCAGAACAGTTGTTATTTATTATTATTTATTAATGCAGGTCCAAAAAGTAATAAGCCATGCACATATGATACACAATAACTGAATTGTATTAACCCTGTACGTGTGTTATATCACTTTTATTTTAGCTTACTATGTGACTAGGTAGTTCTTCAGTATTTCCCTGTTTTAATTTGTGGAAAGTCAATTTCGTGAAAAATAGCATCCATTCCAAGTGAAAAATTTTGAAAAAAAAAAACAAAAAAAAAACAACAACAACAAAAAAACCACCCTGCTTTTTTATTTCAGTTAGAAGCTGAGAAAAACTTCGACATTTTGTTTATATTGGATTACGTTTTTTTGCCGTTCTTGGCATTGTCAGTTCCGATATGCCGCTCAATATTTTATTCTCCACGCACAGTCACATTACTTTCTGTCAATTCTACTTCATAGTAGTGCAATATTTCATATAGGATTGAACCCGTTCAAAATATGAAAAGATAGCTCAGCAATAATAGTATGATAATAATCATACTAGTTCCACATCAAGAAACTGCATACATGTAATTGCATTGGGGATTAGGACGATCAGTTATAGACCTTGATTGGTGTATTGTAAGCATGGGGCAAAGTATGGATTTAGATAACTTATTCTTATTGATCTAGTGTTTAAACGAGAATAAAAAGGAACACAGAAACTCTCCTCTCTCAACAGTTTGTACTTCTATGGTAAAATAATGTTACCCTGTATCAAAATCTCTTAAAAGTTTGTTTGTTTGTTTGTTTTTCTATTTTTACGCCGATTGTAACACATTTTCGATCATATATCGTTCGTCAAACCATCTAATCAACTTTCCTTGACAGCATATCAGTACATATTGTTACACAATGTGATGCATAAGCAAGTTTTTATGATAACAATGGACATATTCGACTGATGTTTTTTCAATTGCATCAGATATTGGTGTTTTTTCAAACAAAAGTGTTTCTAGTTTTATGTTCATACTTAGCAAAAAATTATGTTTCCTCTTAAGTCCCTGTCATGGCTTTAAGTTATAATTCAAGTGAATAATCAAAGAAAGATTCCGAATTGATTAAATATAGAATGTAAATATCCACTATCGTGATTCTAACATTGCCCCTTTATCTGTTACTTCATTTCTGATGAGGAAATTAAATCATCAACACTTATTAGCATACATTTATTACCACACAAGATCAACCTAGCTGTTGCACTGAGTGTACATAAGCTGAATATTTCTATCGTAAACAGTTGTTAAGATTCTTGAAAATTCTGCTGCTGCAAAATAGAAAGGAACACTGTAAGCAAGGTACATGTAACAGGAGGTAAAGTTATAACTGAGGGTGGTATTTTGGCAGACAAAACATAATGAGAACAAATATGCCAAGTGCAAAATGTAAAATGTACTATGTAGAAGATGAAAATATAGAGATAGATTTAGAGCATTTTGTGTCAAAGTCAAGTACTGAAGTGTTTTATGAATGGCAGCCTTTAACTTTTGACGACCCTGTAAACGAAGATTCCCAAACGTTTTCCGTACTATTTATTTACGAATATAAGTCTTAAACTTCGCCGGAGTATGTTTATTTTATAATTTGGCTTGCTGACTTGCTTTTTATTTTATAGAATGCAATATATACTTTTATAAGTGCTAAATAGCGTCATATTATATCATTTTACCACAGCATGACTATATCTTCATTCTGGCCTGTGCCATGGAGTGCACCACGTATCTACTGCCTGTTTCACACAGTTGTCTCCATTGGCAGGTTGAAGTGCTCGGCAAATTTCTGAAATTACATGAGATTGCTCATTACCTACATAATTTTATTAAGTTAAAGATTGTTCATCTATAAAATTGAATACAGTAATTGTTTCTTTATCAAGTTCAGTCAAATAGATATTAATGTTTAAACATAATCAAGTTTACAGTTTCAGCTACATGTACATGAAATGGTCAAATATGTATTGTACATTCATTATCAGCATTTTTCTGTTCTTACGTTAATGTTATAAGCATTTATTTTCTCTCCTCTAAAATTTGACATATATTATTAAAGAGTTGAGCAAGTTGGTACAGGTCTGAGTTGACCCCTTACGACAATTCAGGGTCCAACTTTGGAGCCATTGGCATAAACTTTGATTGGCAAATTTGTTGGTGCAAACTAAAATTGACCCACACCTGCTCATGCTGTATAAGACCAAGTTCTCCTCAAAACATGCAGGTTTGCATGTGCCCAGTGCATGTTACATGTTACAATGATACTACACAAAAAAAAATCAGCTTAAAAGTTATACAACTTTGAAAAGAATAAAATTCAAAAGCAGATGCTAGGGTCAACTGAGCGAGGGACATATTATATTTCAAAATAGCTGTCAATACAATATTTGTTTAAAACCATGATATTTTCATTTGGGCAATATTTGGGTATATTTGGGTGTATTTGGGTATTTCATGCTGCTAGCAGGGACTTTCTCTATAGAAAAATTCTTTAAGATTATGCAGTTTTCACCAAAAAATGTCCAGTCCTACTAGGTTTTTCCTTGTACCAATCATCTACTATCTCACTGAAACCCACTGACTCTAGAGGAGGGCCCTCTATACTCACTATCATCAATGCATTGAGGACAGTGGATTTCAGTGATGCACAATTCTCCAACTTTATTCTCTTCATGGAGCTAAAGCCCCTCATAGAACATATTTTCAGGTTATGATTTTTTTTTCAACATAGTTTCTACATGTAAATTACATGATAATCCACGCCATGACCTTATCTACATTCTGGTCTTTGCCATGTAGTGCATCACTGCTGCCTGCTGCACACAGTTGTCTCCACTGGCAGGTTGAAGTGGTCAGCTAGTTTCTGAAATAACATGAGAAATAACATTGTTAGAAATTTTGTAAAACGTTGTTTTTAACCTATTCAACCATTTTGTCTTACCTAGATCATTCAATGAGAGGTAGTTGGTAGTGTGTGGAATTTCTTTCTTCGTCAGCCAGTAGAGGTTCTTGAAAGCGAAAACCCGTGTCATCTCCAGAAGAGAATTCATATCCTCAAGCTGGTGTGCAATATTCATGAGGGGGGGAGCCGATTTGCTTTTAACTGTTTTGCCGAAGATTGAGTGAATCTCTACAATCCATGTGCAAGCATCATCCACCCATGTAGCTGCACCAACTGCACAACAAACTGATTGTCGCTGGTGACGAATGCACAAAGTTCACATCATTCCTATAAACACAATAAAAACAAAAGATTTATATCATTAAAGATTGATACACTGAGACAGTTAAAATGTACTCACTTAAAATTATTTTATCTATGAACACACAGTCGAACAGTAATATAGTTGAGATTTACAACTGAAGACTGAATAATTTCTCATTTCGTATTATTATAGATAATTCATGTATCAAATTTTTTTTAACAATGAAGAGCTTTCTTATTAATAAATATATTAATCATTTCATATGCATTGTTTCCATTACATTTCAGCGACTGTCTGTCTCAAACTTAGGGACAGGACTTGAAGAGATAATTTTACTTTATTATTTGGGTTTACAGCGCACCAACAAACTGTTGGTCATAATGTAATGCCCTAGAAAGATATCCCACAAAAAATATTGTGGAGCCCACAGTAAAAGTTGTGGAGCGTTCCTTCCACAAGGAAATCTGTTGGACGTCTTCCCACGGAAAAAAAAACTGTGGAGCCACAAAATATCTGTGGAGCGTTCTTTCCACAAAGTTGCGGAATGTGTGGGGACTGTGGCATATAAATAGCCAGCTTTCCTTCAGTAGGGAGCTTCAACACCAAAATTTCACTTTGTGCACCGTTTTGGGGGTTTCCTTAAAATTCTCAATACTTTGGCATTCATCCGAAATTATTCTGGTGCACAACGTTTTTATTAGTTTATTTTGGGATTTTACGATTTTATGAAAGAATTGGACATTTATTTTTGTGAAGTACAAGTTTTATTTTGATAAGAAACTTTTTTGAGGGAACTTGAGATTGTAACTTAAAACAGTATTTTTATGAACGATTTTTGTGACATAATAACTTTGATCTACAGTTAATTTATATATTTGCTTATTTAAGCTGTTTAATAAACTTTAGAAACTTTAAAACGTATTTGTAATTTTTCCCTCCTGAATTTTTTTAACGTTGAAGTTCAAACTTTGTGAATGCTCAGCGGACAGTCAACTAGCAGTAGCAGACGGCGTGCTATGTAATCACGGAGAGCAGTCAAAAAGATATTTGCTGTCTACATGAGAAACAACACACAGTCACGTAGAGCAGTCAGAAAGGGTAGTTGCTGTCTACATGAGAACACAAAGTCACGGAAAGCAGTCATAAACTTTCCCAAATGTGAGATGCCCATTTGATGAAGTAACCAATAAAGATAAGCATGGTAAAATGTTAATTTTTGGATTAATGGATCCTCTTTGAACTTAAACTACAGACGAAAAAGTTTTGATTGTTGAAAAAATGAATATATTAAAAAAGATATGCACGATAATAAAATGTTATCTATCACTTTGGATTAGAGTTTTGATGCGTAGGACCATAAAGGTTGTACAACTCTTAACAGGTGTTAAAACCGGTAAACACAGTCTAGATCGATCTTATCTCATACACAACACCATTTGGCCTACAACCAATATGAACCAATTAATAATAAAAAATAAATATTATTCTGTGGATAAAATTAATTTAATGAACACCAAGACAATAATAACCTTCCGTTTTTTTCAGTCATTTTCCCAAACCCTAAAGCAAACTAAATCGCAGGGTTTACACAATTTTGCACTATGATTGCTAACGGGTTTTCTTTAAGCCAAGAAAACATGAATAAAAGAAACGGGGGAAGATAAGATATAAAATATATTTCACCGAATCGCCCGGGAACATGTTCTTTTTTTACGCTTAAGGCATAAAATAGGGGAAAAAATTCTCGATATTGCATAAGACTTCAACTTTTTAAGAAGGTTTTTTTTTGGGTTTATAAGTGGGTGTTTTTTGTTTATTTTTAATTCACCAACACAGAATACAATAGAGTTTTTGTGATCACCCTGTCCGTGTCTAACCCTTTTTCCCAATAAACAAATAGGAGAAACAGTTACATCATATCCTTAACAAAGGAAATTTGTAAAATAGCTCAAAGTGAAGGGTTGCAAAAAAAAGCCCGAAAAAGCAACGGGGGTAAAAAAACGAACCAATAAAATATAAATCAAACTAAAAAGAAATAAGCGCAAGGGGTTCTGAGACCATACCCCAAAAGTCATTAAAAAAAATACATTAAGACTATCTGAAAATGAAAAAACTTCTCCCATATTTTTCGTCGAATTTAAAAACAATAGAACTTTTTTGTGAAAGTCGAAAAATGTTATTTTATTTTTTCTAATAAAGCTGCCATTTTAAAATTAATAAACGGGAAAAGGGACTCCAAAAAGGGTTTTTTACAAAAGGGATAAAAACATTTTTTCATTTTACTTTTCCATTGAAAAAGGGTTTGTTTTTTTTTTGGAAGGAAAAAATATGTTTAACAGAGCAGTCACTGTTGTTTAAAATTTTTTCATGAAACCCCTGCCTTTTATCTATAATCGTCGGGGATATTAAATTAGGGATTGAAAAGGTTTTCAATCACCTTTGATCTGAATAAAAACGGAGCGGGTAATCTTTTTATAATAACTAACAAATGTTTTAATTTGACATCTTCCGGAAAACAATTTATTTCGGTAATATTTTGATTGAAAAATATGTCTGACAACATGGCCTAATTTTAAAATACACGTTAGCATACACTCATAACCAAAACCAAAATAACGTCAACAGTGTGCAATTTGTATTAAAACAATAATTTATATATAATTTATGTGATTTTATTTTTTATATCTATAGATTCACTTAATAATTTAAATAGACTTGAACACAATACAATTAAACAAACTAAGTAGATTGCATGCTTTATTCATATCATTTTCTCTTTATTTTACTTAAAAATGTATGAAAATAAAAAGGAATTGAAATGTTTTAGAAAGTTTTTAACTTGTTTTAACGACACATAAAAAGTTCGCCTTCTTTGCTCGATAGGGAGAGCATCAGTAGTAATTCAGAGGACGCGGGTTCCGTTCTCGGGCGAGATGAAATGAGCCGTGTCATGACAAAACCAACATAATGGGTTTGCGGCCAGCATGGATCCAGACCAGCCTGCGCATCCGCGCAGTCTGATCAGGATCCATGCTGTTCGCTATCAGTTTCTCTACTTGTTATACGGTTTGTAAGCGAACAGCATGGATCCTGATCAGACTGAGCGGATGCGCAGGCTGGTCTGGATCCATGCTGGTCGCAAACCCATTATGTTGGTTTTGTCATGACACGGCTCAAATTATTTTTGTGACAATTGTTCTTACATTGAGTCTGATCGTCTTTATCTTTTACTGCTGATTCAAAAATCATATGGGATTAGTAATTTAGTCACTTTCGGAGTGAACGGAAATTACTGGTTTAATTATGCTGGAAAGCCGGATAGGTGGACTTTTCGACGAGATATGACCAAAAATGTGTTAAGATTGGCGAAAAATCAGATAAACAAAAAGATCCAAATATACTCACGATCCCAGGGTTGTCTGATTTTTCAATAAATTGCAATTTCAATGGAGACGTTATCGGTAGTAAGTATCTTGAAATGTAATTAGAAACCCTTCGATATATACAATATAATAGTTAAGTAAAATTAAAAAAAATAAATAACTATGGTAAAAAATCGGAGCACTCATTCATGTTTTACTTATTTATATGTTAAAGTAGGCTTAGATTCGTACAATATAAAATCACGGTAGCATGGTTGTAATTATGGCAACCCTAAAAATAATAATATAAAAATATTCGTTTCTGCCAATATTTTGATACAAGGCAGTATGAGAGCCTGAGTATTGGTCGGATCCAAGATCCTTAGGTTGAGTGGTAGATACTTTTACTTGAGGCCATTTCCACCATCTCTTTGGAATTTCTTCGATAAAAACAATCTGTTTTCACTGAGAAATAACGAAAAACTGACTGAGAAAGAACTTAAAGTTGACTTAAAAAGACACAAAACAATTGAAGTTATTCGGCCGAATTTTTGAATAAAATTTAACAAATACTTGTTCTCTGCAATATGCATAGCCACGCCTCTCACAACATAGGTACACTCTTTCTATCTGGCTGAACTGTCTCTTATAACTGTTTATTATTATAAATGTATTAAAATATAAACACACGAACCTGCTCTTAAACACAGTTTAATATGTCCAACTTGAAGAAAATATGTTTTAAAAGTGACATTCTACTCCCATTTAAAATATAAAAAAAATATGTGCAAACCTAATTAATAATATTTTATTTTGTTACCAGTGCAAAAAGGACACTTTTTGAACAACATTCGTCAAAATGAGGGTTACAAATATCAAAATGTTGTTGCTTTACGTGACATTCATGATGATTATTGATCAGCTCAATGCATTTCGGGTAAGACGAAGTAGTGGGGAGAGCAGTGGCAGTAACAACAGTGGTCTTAGAGGGGGCAAAGAATTGAACAAAAATGGAAATAGTGAGAGCAGCGGCGGTATCAATGAAAACAGCACAAGTGGGAGCAGTGACAGAAGCAGCAGTGGCAGTATTAGCAGCAAAGACCTTAGAATAAGTGACATTAGCAGTAGTAGCAGCAGCAGTAGTAGTAGCAGCCGTAGTTCTGTCATCAACAGTAGCAGCAATGACAGAGGTGTTAAAAGTAGCAGTAGCATAAGCACCAGTAGCATAAGCACAAGTAGTGGCATTAGTATCAGTGACATTAGCACCAATGACATTAGCATCAGTAGTGGTATTAGCACCAATGGCATTAGCACCACAATTGGCATTAGCACGAATGGAATAGGGAATAATGGCATAAGCACCAATGGCATAAGCAGCAGTGGCAGTGGTAGAAATTGGTTACGAGATTTTATAGAGGGAGCGAAGGAGATGCATAAAGCCTATACGTAATTTTGCTCTCTGTGTATTTCTTTTCATATACATACATTTTATAACTGTTTATCATTTTAAGATAGATTAACAATCAAATGCCTTCAACGCATTTGAAAACTCGGTTGAAACAGTATATATAGTCTTATGAAACTCGCTCAACGTTCTCAAGCTGTCCATGGCCAACTTCGAATAGATTATATGAATTAAAAATAAATAACAATACCACAATATGAAGACGATAACAAACAGATGAAACAATGGGTATCAATATCACAATATCACATATGTCGAGTTGTAAGTAAATATGACATATATTGTTGCAGAGACATGATAGAGGCCAACTGGAAAGACTCTGACAAGTACTTCCACGCCAGGGGCAATTATGACGCCGCACAACATGGAACTGGTGGGAGACATGCAGCAAAGGTCATCAGGTACCGGTTTATTTGTTTCAGCAAGGCATCGATATTATCTAATCAAATATTTGAATTTGCAAACATGTTAACGAATTGCTATTTGTAATAAATCGTTTGGCTGTTTCTCTATTCTTCTTATTACATGATTCTTTCCGATACTGGTATATGATTGCGTAAACCAAGCTACTTTTTTCAAAAAAAAAAATTGTACATTATATGCGGTGTATGACGCTATGTGTGTTCCTGACAGTTTGTTGTTCAAATTTTAAGAACAAAAGTGCTTTGTTAAGTATTCATAATACATTCACAATTGTTATTAAGTTATTTTTCAGTTTAAATATTGATATTTATTTCAGTGATCTACGTGAAGCTTATGGCTGGCTCAAGGGTGACAGTGCCGCAGACAGAGCCGCTGACCAAGAAGCTAATAAGCATGGCCGCAACGGAGGAGATCCGAATGAATATCGCCCAAATGGACTGCCGGACAAGTACAAGAGATAGATTGTTTTTGAATCTTCAGTTACAAACTTCTATATTGTATACAGCTATTGTTTTATAACTTGTCTTTAATTACCTTAATGTAACATGTATATAATTATATATGTGTGTGTGTGTTTCTCGTCATATGTCACAATAATAAACGTTACACATGCCCTGTAGGAGCTTTGTACAAAGCTTTATGGATTGCAGATATAAAAATTCTTCAAAACATATCCTGCGGACACCAATAATTTAAAACAAAATCGATGGTTAAAAGGGGACATAATTCTATCAATAATAATTTATCTAAAAACAGCAAAAATGGAATTGAACAGTGTTTTAATATAACGTACAACAATGCCAAATATAAACTCAATCACTGAAATTCTTCATTAGTTATCCTGCTGAAACTGATAGCTCCATAGAAAACTACAGTTAAAAGGGGGCAAAACTCAATAATAGTTGGTTGATTACCGCAAAAAATCGGACTTGTCCATTGTTTTGATATGACATACTAAACTGCCATATATAAACACAATCATTTATAGCCTTCAAAAGTTATGCCGCGGAAACCAATAATTTCACAGAAAATTCAGTTAAATCGAGGAATAATTCTAAAAAATTAATAAGTTTATTGCAGCTAAATATCGAATATGAACTGTGTTTTGATACAATTTACTAACATGTTAAATTTAAACACAATCATTGTACTCATTCAAAAGTAATGATGTGGAAACTCTCGTCTACGGACAGGCGAACAAACAGACAACGCCATACCATAATACACCTCTAAATTTCTTCGGGCATATAAAAACTGTTTTTCTGCAATACTTATACGGTAATCTTTTTGTGCCATCCTGCCAACCCCGTCCCAATTGTTTTTCTCCAAAAACTGTCAAACTGTTGCTTATTTCAGGCTGGCTTTTCGCGCTGACAACCACATTTTCCAGATCATGCTAATTTTCACTAAAACTTTGAACATGTATTTAAAGGTAAAATATTTTCAGAGAGCAAAGGAAATAATTTATGTAAATAACCAAATAAAAGTCAAAATTTGCATTAGAAAAAAATTTACTGCGTTGGTCACGCAGTATATCAATATGGTGATAAATACTGCAAAATCAGTCATTCATTGCATGTTAATTATTAGTTCAATTGTAAAATATTTCACTTTTCTTAAAATCTTAATTAGCACATTTTTCTTAAGGTTGACATTATTGTTTTTTATCTAGAGACATCCGGCTTTAAACACAGCAATATGAATGATCTCTAAAACATTTAATAAACCATCATAGGATTATGATGTCTTGGGAACAAAATAATAACAGTATTTTGTAAACTCCTTAAATATTTTATTGTTCGGAAATATCAAGATTCAAATTAATTTCCCCGAAATAATCATGCTTTTCAAAATACCACCGCTTTTGGAATAATTGCATTCATAGAATATTAATATTTTTACCACAATTTTATGCTAATAGCCTATGAGATTTGCATTCTATCCTTTGCATGCTGGGAAAATTGTCGCCTGCTAAAATGTGAATTTCATCCACTAATCTCAAAATCTAGGAAATAAAGTGAGAGATCTCTTGCTGAAGAAAAAGGGTATTTTTCCGATCGGTGACTTGTTTTTTCTCAATATAAAGTGCATAATTGTTCGTAAAAGAACATCATTTTCTGCTTACAATCGTTTTAACACCATCTATCTCATTCCGTTGCGGATAAACTAAAAAAACATAACATAACATAACATAACATATTCTTTATTTGGCATAAAACGACAATATACATTTATAGCCAATAAGTAAACAATCATGTAATGTAAGAACATGATATACAATATAAATACCATAATGTTTTACAGAGAAAGTTCTTGTTGCTACAAAATTTGAATAAATTTAAGTTCCTGTTATCTTACAATAGAAGAACATCATTGATAATATAAAGACCTTGACAAAGTTGAAATGTTGTATTTGGTGCTACAAAACTTGAATAAATTTAAGATGCTAACTGTTGTCATTTCTTTCTTAAAATGGAAAAATACAAAATTTGACAAGATACTAACTGTTTCAGTTTTTTCTTAAGATGAAAAATACAAAAAAAATTGACAACTGAATAAATTTAACCTACTAATTGTTTGTTCAACTCTTTCTTTAAATGAGAAATACGAAAAATTTGACAAGTAAAGTAATAACTGTTGTCCTTTTTTTTCATGTGAAAAATACAAAATAATATATATGACAAAGACAAAAATATACTAAATGTTGTCAGTTCTTTCTTTAAATGAAAAATACAAAAAATTTGACAGGTTATTCAACATTTGAGTATTTGTTGTAGACATTAGTTTTTTCAAATTTATGAATTGCATGGCAACGACAATAGTATGGTTTTCAAATATTTGCGACGTAAACTATAGTATTTGGGGCAAACTAGCAAAAAATGGAATTCATTTTCTATCACGTTTAAATTGCAATCGTACATAGTCTGTTTTCTCGCGCTACGTTTTCGTATCGACCCGTTTCTAATTGCTAGGTTATGGGATGACAATCTAATTTTTGTAAGTGATATTCGAAATTGTTTTATGTTAACTTTATTAAATAGTCTTTCAGTTTCGAGTGAGCGTTTATAGATGCTGTATGACGATAGTCTACTAGAATTTCTTATATTACTATACCATTCTTGCTTTAAATGTCCAATACTTCTATTTTTAACTTGTTGAAAATTGATTGTTATATGTTCTTGATTAATCCATATGTTCGACATTCCTATATCATTTAAAATCTGTTTTAATTTGGCATGCCCAGTTGTTTACCACCATAAGAAAGACCGTTTTCTGCATCAAATTTAAGACATTATACATACGTTTTAAGCAGACAGGTCATTTTGTAAACTAATTAATTTTGTCCAATATTTTAACATTATATAAATTTACGATGTATTCGCATTGGATGTCTACCGGTTTCGCCATAAAGACCATCCAAGTTTGTTGCTTTCTTAACACATAAGACTTTTCTGAGAAATTTACAATGGATCGTTTCTATATTTTTTTTCCTTCTTGATATCCATAAAACTTCAGCAACCATAGTTTAAAAAACTGAGCTACCATACTATCAAAAAGTTTAAATTTGTCTCCAATAGATAATTCTAATGATTAAAACACTGTAAATAAATTATGCAATGAAAACGAAGCATTTGTGCTAATTTCTTTGAGTTCTATTCCAATGTCCATTTTTAAATAATTAATCCAAGATATTTAAAAAAATTTACGTTTTCCAGAACTATTCATTATATACGAAATTGTAACTTGTATGTCTGCCTTTTTCAAAAAATCATAATTTTTGTTTTATTAGTATTAACTTTAAGTCCCCAAGTTTGACAATATACTTGTAAATCATTTAGCATAGATTGGAGTGCCATAGGCGTATGTGCAAATAAAACGGCGTCATCCGCGAAGAGCAGCAGAGATATTTTAGCGTCGTCGATTTTTAAAAAGGTCTTCTATATTGGAATTATATTTCTACTATATCATTCACGAAGTATAAAAAATAATAATGTGGAACTGGGTCCCCTTGTTTTGCGCCAATATTTGAATCGAAAAAAGACGAGACTGTATTGTTATATCTAATAGCAGCTTTAACGGATGCGTACATACATCTTATAGCCGTTACAAATTTTGAACTTACATTTTCTGACAATAATTTCTTGAAAAATAAATGTTCGATCCAATTGTCAAAACATTTTCGAAATCGAGGGAAACAGCAATATAATTTTTTCTTTCTGATAATGACTTAACGATTATAGAGTGTAAAAGAAATATGGCAATCCGTTTGGATTTTCCCTTCTGGAAAAACCATTACTTGATTGTCAATAATTTACTATGTTTAACGGACCACTTCGTTAGACGATTAAGTAAAATTGAGAATAAATTTTTGCAATTATATTAATGACGGGTTATGCGCCCTTAATTCTTATGGATCCTCAATCATTTCCCCCTTAAAAATTGGTACAATAATACTGCTCCCCAATTATTGTATATTCCCCCATTTCGAAAATCTATTATAATTGCCTAATGAAAAAGTGAAATAATATCAAAAAGAATGTTTATAATCTCCGCAATAACAGAATTCCGCCCCCGCGCTTTTATTATTATTTGGGAAAAAACTGCCCTCTTTTATTCCGAATGATTAGCGCTATCTAAATCTCATCTTTTATAACATGTGGATTCGTAAACTTGATCTCTGTCATTCGTTCCACTCTATATAAATTCTTAAAATGACTAAATAATCAGAAAATTTTATCATAGCATGAACAGTTTTGCCGTATTGTTCTTAACCCTTTCCATGAATTTGCGCGGTGCACTTACTTAATTTCGTAAGCGTTTTACTTCGCCCCAATGTATATATTTTGTACTTTTTCTTATCGTTGATTTATACATATTTTTACGTAAATATTGTTGTCTAGGTTATCATTGTTTATCTTTTAAAATAAGTTCCTATTTCTCTTAAACTCAATCTGTATATTAGCAAAATTGTTTATCAAACACGTTTATTTTCTAGACTGCATTCGCGAGTTTTTGACTTAAAAATGGGCCGCCCTCTTACCAAATATCATTTGCGCCGAAGATTTTTAAACTATTAAAACAAATAAATCCGTCACTTCATTTATATCCTCGTTATTTTAACTCTATCTGTAAGTCTTTGAGAATATATTTTCTTCGTCTTGCAATAATAAATTAGTTTAAAATTCTATTATTTATCGTCATCCCATTTTAATTATTATTTCTGTTTTTAGATTCATCGTTTAATGGTTGGGCAAGACTGTTACTTAGAATATTAAGCGAATACCCGACTGTGATCAGAAATTCATTCGGTTGCTAAAACTGAAAAATCTGTGACACAATCAAAATATTGAATATTTAAAAGCAAGTAGAGCCACTACACTCGATCCATTCAATTGTAATGGTATGTAAATTCACCTGTACCAAGGTCATCGTGTAGTTCTACCGGTTACCAATGACGAAGACGTTGATTGGCATACTCAATCAAGCGCCTCCCCTTTTATCAATTACCTGTATGCGCGTGAGTTGTCGCGTACGGAATACGGATGGGTGATTCGATAATATATCGTTCACATATACATGTCATAATCTAATTATTTCCGAAAAATCAGAGGTACGACATTAAAAATCACCTTAACTAACATTTTACCCCTGTTAATTTATACTTCTCATAACCCAGTTTTCTATTGCCCTTCAAAAAACGTCAAAAATTCATAATTGTCAACAATACAAAATTATGGATAATACGTA